CTACAGGCTAGTGATGACCAAGGAAATACTATAAACATTCAACGTGTGCCAAAGAATGAAGGTAACTTACAGCTTTGTTGATCAGGAAAACCTTTAATAGAGATTATTGAATGATAATTCTGATAATTACAAATGTAGGTATTCCAAAGAAGTAGGCTACTCCCTATTTATTTATTTATTCAGCTATTATTTATTTATTTTGCTGGGCATGCCATAGCCAGCAGTTCTACTTTCGTAATTCGTAGGGGTACGTATGATCCAAATCAGAACTTTTATTTTAAATACAAAAATCATCCACATGTATGTGACTGGTGAGCATAGTTTTCATGCTAAGTTTGACGAAGGAGGTAGAGTGTGAAGAATTAGTCTAATTCTTCTATGGTTCTCAAACTTGTTCTAGTTATGTATTGGTATGGAGATAATTAGACTAGAAAAATGTAATCTTAATGGTACCAATGATATACTGAAGAGAGAAAACATTTTCGGAACGAAGTATTGCATAATGTACTGCCCTCTCAGCTCCTTGCAAGCAATCGAGTTTGTAAAACACCTACTAAACCAAGCTAGGTATTTCTGATAATAATTCAAGTCCTGTTTTGCAGATGCGCAGGCAATAGAGCTCCCTTCAAAGTGGGAAGACATGCAAGATGAACGGGTCAAACTCGTTACCCTGAAGCCATCATGTCAGGAATATATGGATGTTCAGACCAGGTTTCAGAGAACCTGTCACAACCTTGTCATAGAGAAGGTGAAATCCTTTGGGGGAAAAAAAAAGTGAACTTTGGGGCTAAAAACATCTATATGCTTTCTAAATGTCTGTTTGTAAAGCGTCTGCAACCTAAACCACCTTTCATGTCAGTCTCCTCGACACTGTACAGTGTGGATATAAATCAAATGAAATTTCCTAAGAGTTGCACAGCCATTTCTGCCTTCCTAGTAATGCAAAACGAGTGACCCTCAGTCTTCAAGCTGACTCTCAGACTAATGTGGTGTTTGCTAGTTAATGTGGTACGTCCACTTAGGTGCATCCAAATGGAAGCATGAACAAATATTTTGTCCTTTTAATTCTGAAAGTTCCATTATAGATAAGAAATACAATTTAAGAGATAAAAAGCTTTATGTCTTTCAGCTATGCATTGGATTAAATTTTGCCTCCTCTTCTGCAGTTCATGTCATTGCCAGAAGTTGACAAGATTTAATCACCAAATGCAGAACATATGTCTGTCAATCTGTAGGGTGGGAATCTGTCCTGTGGGAGATCTGGGAAACATTTGGGGCTGCAGAGAGGTCATTCTTCAGGTCTTCTTCCTAATGGGAGAGTCTGCTGCCCAGTTAGCTCTCTGCAGCACTGTCCTTGCAGGCTGGTCATAAAGTTTTTCACTATTTTACTGCTGGAGGAATGGACTTCTTCCCTGTTGGTCCCAGACAGAGCCTTTCAAGCTAGGGTGCTGGTTTAAACTGAAGTGTTTTTCATCAGTACAGATGACTAGGATGTATAGGATGCATCTCACATCAAAGCCCTGTTTCCTCTCGTGGAGGTAAAGCATCCTATTCTAAAAATACCAGTGCACAGCTACCATACATAACAAATGTATGCCAAAAATTACCAAGCTCAAAGCCGTTCTGTAAGCTACTTCCCTTTCTTCTTTCCTGGCTCATATATTCAGTCCCCTAACCCAAATGGCACTAAGGGGGTATAGTGAAAATTACTGTTGTTCTTTCAGTTTGGTTTGCTTTTACTGTTTTGCTGTCATGATAAATATTGATACCTACTAGCATAAATATAGCTCCTTTTTTTTTTTTTTTGAACTTTGCAGATTGAAAGAATACAAAATCCCTTCCTCTGGCAGAGCTACCAAATCAAAAAAAAATCTCTGTGTTCAAAGAACAAAAAGGAAGATAATGAGAAGTTGCTGTTCCATGGGACAGCTGTATCCTCATTGAGCACAATCAACTACAATGGATTTAATCGTGGTTTTGCTGGATTGAATGGTGAGTCATTATCCAAAGCAGTTAATTTCCTAAATTTGTATGCAGTGCTAGTTATAGTGCTGTCAGCATGACATGAAAACCAAATAAAGTTGGAGAGCAAAATAAACAACACCAGAGCACAGTCTGCATGGACAGAGGAAATAACCTGTTCAATTAACCCCTTGTTTGTGAATTTAATTGTTTACAGGGTATCAGAGAAGGCTTTCCCATGCTGAAATCAACCCTAGGCAGCTTTTGAGAAATCTTTTGTATTATCTACCTGCAGAGAGGAATGGGGACTGTTGTCTTGCATCCTTGGATAAGATACCAACTAGCTGCTGGTACCTCCTTTCATCTTAGACAAATCCAGCTAGCAAAGCAGAGATGCAGATACTTCTGTTGCTTCCAAAGATGACAGCACAAGCAGACGGAAGATCATATTCCCCTACCTTTTCTATGCAAATTAAATCAATCGAAATTAATGAATTAATTAGTCCCCTTTAATAGTTGCTGGGGGCAACTGTTAAACCTTTAGCTGAAAGACTGTCTGCATCAGTTTAAAGATTGTCTTGTCCAGTTCCTCTAGTACAGTCATGTAATGTTTCTAATCTGGTGGCATTCAAAGATGAAGGATGGGACCCAAGGAAGTGGAACTTGGCCTGCAAGGTGCCAGTTGCTCTTAAAGGTTCTGCAACCTTACTTCCAAAGTCCTTACTTTTTGTCTGTAATGCTTTCTGCCTTAAGACATAGGGAGAAACTAGTTAGAAAGCCTTAAGACTAGACTTTCAGCCTAAGAGATACCTAGGGCTGACTTGATCTTGAGAGACCTGGACAGCTTAACTCAGATCTGATGGACTCAGACCAGGCTGAAGTGTTAAAAAGTAGCTAATTCTCTTTCTGGATCCTTTAGGCTGAAATTTTCTTGAGAAAATGAAGCCTGATATGCACACAATGAGTAACAGAAATAGCTGCCACCATTTCTTTTCAAAACACAACCAGAGGAAACACAGTTTTGTTTTCCTGCTTTTTAGTGCCAGGAACTTAGATTAACTCAGGATGTGAGACCTAGATTCATGTCCTCCCTCTGCCTGCAAGTATTGACATCTACCTCTCCATCTCAGCCATGACCTGCAATAGGAAAGGCATGCTTTCCTTCTTCTGTCAGACTGGGTAGCCATCTAAAATTACCAAAGATTAGAGCACCCAGATAGGACGGACCTACCTAGCTTAAACAGCTTTCTATCAATGTCAGAAAAAATGAAATCCAGATCAGACAAAGCAACATGATTCCTCTCTCTTCCTGCTGTGAAGTGTAACTAGAAAACCGTAATTACAATTATATAGTCACTTTAAGTTGAAAAGACTCTGAAGAATTGTAATTTGGTTGGCTTGTACTAGGCTAAACAAACAGAAGAACTCTTCAACCTTTAGGAAAAGACAGTGAAAACCTGGTTATTGATAGCTCTGTTGATATTTACCTGATATCTAAGGGGCTTCATGTTTGATTCTGATAAAAAGGATTATTACTAGACCTGTATTGGTAAACTGTAGCCAATGCATAACTTCTACAGAATAAAAAAGAAAATAGGGGAGAGATTCTTATAGGAATAAGAATACTAACTGTGTTTGAAAATGTCTTTTCAAACAGCTGCAAGCATTGGGAAGGGAACCTACTTTGCTGTTGATGCAAGTTACTCTGCTCAGGATACTTATTCAAGACCAGATACGAATGGCAAAAAATACATGTACCAGGCTCGGGTCCTCACTGGAGAATATTGTCTTGGGAGTGGAGGACTAATCATTCCACCGCCAAAAAGTACAGCAGATCCTACCAACCTCTATGACAGCGTGGTTGATAACATCAATTCACCAAAGATGTTTGTCATATTTAATGACATTCAGGCATATCCAGAATACCTTATTACTTTCAGGAGATAGAATATTCTTAATAGTCTGGAATATTGTGGTGCCTTTTATGTGTAGAAAGTAACAGGGCCATTCTCGATTGTTCTTTACATTTAGTTTTTTTGAAATGTTTGTTTATCTATCCATGTGTTTAATTAAGTCTTCAAATGATCAGTGCAACGAGGCCAGGGCAAGCAAATATTTTAGAATGCATTATTTCAGTACTCACATTTGAAATTCAGTTCTGCAGAGGTGTAGGCAAGAGCAGTGACACCAGCCCAGACTTCTTCCGAGGCAAGGCAGATGGGAACTGGTGGGAAGGGCAGCTGCTCTGCCTCACCTATGGCCTGAAGTAGGTGATGCATCTACGCACACCCTCACTTCTGCTATTCACCAGAAAGCACCAAGTGGCTGCCTGTGAAGATTTATTGAAAACTCTTGGTGTCGGTGGGAATAACCTTGTCCTCCAGCAGAATTTTCAGTCATTCTTGGGGATGCACTGACCGTGGGTGCTAAAAGTCATGAAAACAAAAATCCAAGGTGGAACTCTGAATTTGCACTCATTGTTTCACTGCTGCCTTATCTTGTCATGGCATACTTTGTGATTCCCTAGGTAGAACTTCCTGAATTCATACCTGTTTCTTAGCGGCATTATGGACATTACGTATTCTCTGCATTACGTACAACCACGTACAAAGTCATTGCTCCTGGAATCTTCGAGGTAGTAAAGAGAGACTCTAATTTCTTTGGGACAGTATTGCAACATTAACCCCACTGTAGAACCACTCTGCACTTTCACCTGTAGGGATGTACTACTTAGTTGCCCCGCTCAAACTGTAGGGAAATTTTTAAAGCTCTGTAAAGCAAGTAAGTAGGGATCTTTGCACACCTGAACTCTTCGCAACCTGCACTTTTCCAGCTCTAACCTTACAGCTGCCAACCACCCCCCTTGCATACGCGGTTTTAATAAAGGTAGATACAAATAGCTGATGTGGCGGGTCGTGCTTTACAGGAGGGAACGCGCTTCGGGTAGAAGTGCTGCGTTACTTTGGAATATGTTGATGGTGTATATATATATATAGCGGTGCTATACTTAGTAAGAAGCTTAAAACAGAAATTTTCAGGAATTTGCGTGACAGCCCCGAGCACTCCCCCCCGTCCCAACCCCTCCACCACAGCCCTGAGGCGGCCGCCGCCGCCCAATCACAGCCCGCCTCCCGCCTCCGCCCCGCCCTCCCGGCCGCTCGGCGCTCTCCGATTGGCGGCCGGCGCCGCCTCCATGGCGACGCGGCGGAGGGGCAGCCAACATGGCGGCCGGCGGGCGCTGCGGGGCCGCGGGCAGGGCGCTGCCGGCCGCCCTCCTCCTCCTCCTGCTGGGCGCCGCCGCCTCGCCCCGCTCCTCGCCCTGCCACCACCGGCCGCCCGGCCGCGGGGAGGTGAGGCCAGGCCGGGAGGGGGCAGCTGGGGGGCTGGGGCTGGGAGGAGGAGGACGGGCGGGGAGGGAGGGGTGAGGCGGCGCCCACGGCTGTGCTCCCCGCGGCAGGTGGTGTACGGCGTGCCCCTGGCCGAGGATCGCCTCGTCAGGAGGGACGTGGGGCAGCGGCTGCGGATTAAGATCGTGTACGACAGGAGCGTGGAGGAGTGAGTATGGTGTGCTGTGCTGTGGCGGTGACCCCTTTTTGTCCTCATCCCGCAATGCAAACCCTAGTGGCTAACGCTATTTATTTTCTTTCTTTCTTTTTAAACAGTTTGCTGCCAGAGAAAAGGCACCTTATAAAGGTATGGGCTCCTTCTCTTTATTATTTCTATGTATGTGGGTGAAGTCAAGGCTTTACTGATGTGATTAAGGCGCTTCCATATCCTCTGGTCAGGGAAACGAGGGTTTGGGTACAGACTGTTTCTCCCAAATCCTCCCACTGCTACGTTAAATATTATTTAACAGGTGCTTGCTATATCCCAGCACACAAAGCTGTCGATGAGCAGGACCTACATAGCTTCTAACAGTACCAAAAAATGATGAAAATTCTTTAGGAGTACTTTAAATATGCCTGCTGGCGTCTTTTGATTTATTGTGCAAGTAGGCAGTAAAAGAGAGGGCAGCAGCCAGGCTTGGAGGTCGCAGAGACAAGCTGCAGGGGAATCTGTGATGGACAGTTCCCAGTGACCTGTAAGATCGGGGCTGAAATGAAGTCAGCCTCTTTGAAGCTGTACGTTCAAATTAATACTGGCTTCCATCTTGCTTTGTCATTCCAATAACAAAATATGGAAATATTGGAACTAAATATTTCTGAACTTGGAAGTCTGGATCTCTGCTATTCTGCTATGCCACAGCATTAGCAAGTTTCATGTACCTAGGCAGTTAGTGGTTGTAAGTTATGTCTGCACTACCACTGGGTGACTTTTATTTTTGTTCTATTTAGAACAAACTTTTTCCACAAGCTATATCTTACTTGGAGAAGACTTTCCAAGTGCGCAAATCAGCAGGTACTATATTGCTAAGCAGGTATGTGAAAGTTTGTTGAAAATCACTTACTGCGTTCAATATTTAACATTGCATTGTGTAGACATTAAAGTAAGAATAGAATAAGAGCATAAGAAATGCTCTCCTGGGTCAGACCAGCAATCCATCTGGCCCAGTGGTGGGAGATGACCATGGAAGGTCAGCAAACTTGTGCTTTCTCCTTCAATAGCAACACCTATTTTTGTGGTATCAGAGATGTTAAAGAGTGTCACACTGCTTATTTCCTTTTGTGTGTACGCCCCTTTATGAACCTGTTCCAAATCTTTTTTTTGCACCTGTAGATACTCTGTTAACAACTGAAGTATTGTATTCCAGAGTAGTGTAACATTTTTCAGCATGGAAGTTACAACATTGCTATATTAAAAGCATATTACAGTGTTGCTGGGTGCTGTAAGATTATGCTAATTTCATTTTAATTCTAAAACAATGCTAACTGTCTTTCATGTTTGATTGAAGGCAGTGTGCAACAAACCAATATCTAAGGAGGAAAGCTGATCCTCACAGATACTGCCGAGTGGCCTGTGCAAACCATACGAGGTGTGGACCAGTTATAGTTCCTGAAAAACACCTCCAGGTAAGCTGAACCATCCAGGTGCTTCCTAACCTTTGGAGGAGTGCAGTTTGTGGAAACTACTTAAAATGTTAGTACTGCTAGTACACTCACAAGTGATTCAGCCCGGAGAAGAGAAGGCTCTGGGGAGACCTTATGACAACCTTCTGATACCTAAAGGTATACTAAAGGTATACTCTTTGTTGAGGAGTATAGTGAGAGGACAAGGAGTAGTGGTTTTAAACTGCAAGAGGATAGGTTTAGATTAGATATAAGGAAGAAATTCTTCACTGTGAGGGTGGTGAGACACTGAACAGGCTGCCCCGAGAAGCTGTGGCTGTACCGTCACTGCAAGTGCTCAAGGTCAGGTTGAATGGGGCTTTAAGCAGCCTGGTGTGGTGGGAGGTGTCTCTGCTCATGGCAGGGGGTTGGAATTAGATGAGCTTTAAGGTCACTTCCAACCCAAACTGTTCTGTGATTCTACAATTCATTTTGCAGGAGATAGCTTAAGTTGTTCTATTCTGTCACTCAAATTTAGTTAGTGTCTTTAGTTTATGATGTTGAACTAAAAGTCATGGAAAACTGGAATGTTTACTGTTCTTTAAGTCTGTGATATAGAAAACTATACACATAATGAGATTCAAAGCGTATGAAATGGCATCTGGTTGCTTCATTATTCTCCTCGGTCAGTGAGTCAGATTTTCACAGAATTAATCATAAATTTTGAATCAAAACAGTGGTTTTCGATGAACAAGGAGCACGGTGCAGAAAGTGCTTGTAACTTGTTTTCTTGCCTGAATTTTTGAATCGACTACAGTATGTGATCACCAGATTTCTTTTAGCTTGACATTTCAACTGCAGCATTAAAAATATATTGCATTAAATGTGAAATGCAATGTCTGCTTATGTATATACTATTTCTGTGAGCCAAAACTTTTCAATTAATCTAGCTTGGCAAGCACCTTTTTTTCAACAGCTGCCACCTTCCTAGCTTTTAAACAAAATGGCTAGTCTTTTAAAAGTTGTTCCCTGGCTCTGGGTTTGTTTACTCTTGTCACAGGGAATTTTCTCATCTTCCACTGTCATAGGCTGGGGTTTATTCTTGGCTTCCAGCTAGTTGTGTTTTGTTCTACAAAACTTCTATCATAGCTGATGTATTTTAACTGTTTCCTTTGAACATTGTCAAAGCAATGCAGGGTGTACAATCAGAACGAACGGCACTTTGGCTTACCTGATCAAGAAGGGGTTCGAGATGCTGACTTTGTGCTTTATGTCAGTGCTCTCACTACTGAAAGGTGTGGCCATGAAAACATCATTGCATATGCAGCCTACTGCCAACTGGAAGCTGAAATGGACAGGCAAGTATTCTGTCTGGTACAAACTTTCTTTAGTTAAACTTTCAATTGTATATGTGGAGTTAAACTGTCTGCCTGTGTTGTGTATAGGCTAACACAGAAATCATTGAAATAATGCCAAATACTGTATTCGCGTAAAAGCACAGAACAATGGAATAACGCTTAACCCATAAAACAGACATCTAAGTCAAAAATAATCTTCTGCTGTCACTGCCTGAATTTTATCTCACAATCCTGCTTCTGTTGAAGGAAAGGTCATACTTTCAAAAACTTAAAGAAAAAGGCAAATAGCCCCTGCTTACGTGGCTTTTGTTTCTCATTTGGCTGTAGTCACTTCAACAGACATGTTGTACCTTTGTAATGACTACACCTGAAATTCAGATCTCCTGTACTGTTGTCAGTAACATCTGTGCTGCATGTTGGTATACAGACTGATCCCATCCCTCTTCCCCTTTTGTAGCAATAAAGTCACAGGGATTGTTAACAAACTAGTTATAATTAGTTAAGGGAAGTTATCTAGAAGCTCTTACATTTACATTAGTCTTTAGTTTCCAGTGTTGCTTTCTGCCTCTTCAAGTGAATACGAATTGAATTTACTAGTATTTTACTGAAAACAATATAATTTTAAAACTGTCTTCCAGGCCAATAGCAGGATATGCTAACTTGTGTCCAAACATGATCTCAACGCAGGCTCAGGAATTTGTTGGCATGTTGTCTACAGTGAAACACGAGATTATCCATGCACTGGTAAGGGTTGGTATTATAGAACACATTTCCCTGCCCTGAAATTTGTGCCTTCCCCCTCACATCTCTCCTGCTTGTTGCAAGAGAAGCGTGTCTGGTGAGGGTAAAGCTCTTGCATTGCCTCTCAACTCGTGTGTTAATAGTCTACCTGCTGCGTACGAGAACTTTTCATGGCATTTGACTTGGTGTGTAAATGTCTTACTGAAGGTTTCTGTTTGATTTTGAACTTGCAGGGTTTCTCTGCTGGACTGTTTGCATTTTATCGTGATGATGATGGAAAACCTTTAACAACAAGATATGCAGATGGACTCCCTCCTTTTAATGAAAGGTATTTCATATTTTTGGACCTCTCAGTACTCTCAGTGCTGAAGGGATGTCTTCAGGTTGCCTTTTTAGATATATTCTTGCTGTTAGCCTGTTGAAAATCCAACTTGATAGCTTTATTAGAATTCTTTGTATTTGTTATGTTCAAACGCTGTTCTATTTTTATTGTAGTCTTCCTTTACATTGGCATTAAACATTTACCTTGTAATGCATGGGGATGATTTAAGAAACAATTTTAGTCAGGAAGCCTGAAGTTAAGCATTGCAACAACCAGTTGCTTAAATTTAGAGGTTTTCTGAGCACCGCACTCAACTGGCACTTATATTTTCTGTAGTCTGTCTAATATCAGCGGAGGTAGGTTTTTTTCAGGCACATATCATTTGAGGTCTATAATTGTGCAGAAATGGCAATGCCTGTAGTCTGCTGCTTGATTTTTCTCCCTTGTTACTGAATAAACAATTTGCAGTACATTTTTGATAACTGTAGAAAATATGTCTTGAGTCTACAGACATCTTTTTAGTAATCTTACTTTAGCATGTTAGATCAGAGCTGGCTATGTAATAAATCTTACAAAGATTATAATGTATCTTACAAAGGAGAAGTGTTGCACAATTTAAAAGAAAGAGAAATGGAAATTCTTAATTCTAGTTTTTAATGGAAATAAAGCTTTGTACAGTAGCGTGTGTTTATCAAAACATCCATAACTAACACATTCTTCTTACAGTCTAGGTTTGTATCAGTGGAGCGATAAGGTTGTTCATAAAGCAGTGAGGTTATGGGATGTACGTGGTGGCCAAATGCTTCGCCATACTGTTCACCTTCTGGTAACACCTCGTGTAGTTGTAAGTGTTGATTAACTTAGCTGTGCACTATGTATGTCATAACATTCTTGAGTCACAATTATTTCTCACTCTTTTTAAGCAGTAATAAGTTAACTTTAAATAGTGTTGTGTTATTATTTTTTTTTTTTTAATGTATGGCCCATAGACTATATAATTATGATGATCTAATTAGTTGAGAAGGGGCTATCCAAGGTGAAAAAGAAGTGAAGGAAAATGTCTGGCAGTATGAAATAAATAACTCAATAAAAGAGACAATGAAGGGATTGGGAAGTAAATTGTAAACGGTTGAGCAAAATTGATATTGTTGCCTTAATCTTACTCTTCAGAGGCTTTCCTGCAGACTTAGGCACCTCGTATTCCAGTTGCCTTAACAGATAGTGCTGTTACTGTTTTTCTAGTTTAATTTCATCCAATTTAATATTTTTCTTTTAAAACTTTTCTTTTTTTTCCTTTGTAGTTTTATGCATTACCAAATAATGCATTGAACATTTTGTAATGTTTAAAAAGGGAGTACTTTAAATATTTTTGGAAAACCTTCTCTTCAAATCCTTCCCACACCTCTTTTTTTTTTTTTTTACCCCAACTAAACATATACTAAGTGTAATATATTTGGTATTGAAAATAACTTCTAATCATATTTGTCCACTGAATACTTATGAGTTGTGTTGAAATGTTTTCTTTCTAGGAAGAAGCTCGTAAACATTTTAATTGTCCAATCCTAGAGGGAATGGAGCTTGAAAATCAAGGTGGCATGGGTACTGAGCTCAATCATTGGGAGAAGAGGTTGTTGGAGGTTGGTGCTAATATTAGGAATGGAGGGGGATTTGGAAAAGCCTGCTCCCCCTGTCTTTATTTTTAGGTTTATAGCGGTATTCACCAGAGCCTTGAAAACATAGGTATGAGAAATACCTCACTGAAATATATCACATACAGTGCTAAACTGGAAACACTTAAATGTCCAATTGCTAGATAAATTTTATTTTACTTCCTTGCTAAATCTCAGAATATGAGTTTCGGATAAGATGACTGCTGGAAAATGAAATCTCTTGATTTTTGAAAAAAATGAAAAGTCAATTAAGTTTTGTCATGCTTCTTGATTGTTCTGTCTGTTCACTATCTGGATTTCATCTTTTGACATGTCTCCTTAGGGTTAGGTTTTGCCATCCCTATTCCAGAACCTCATCTGATCAAGGAAACACTTATTTTCCTCCTGATGCTTAAGCTTATTTTTATTTATAACATTATGTGATATTTTGGGCAGAAGTATAGTTTATAATTATTGTATGAAGTGAGGTAAACCATAAGGTAAATGCATCAGGACAGACCTTTTCATGGAAGTAAACAGTGAAAAAATACATATTTCAGGAGACCAAAACAGCTGATTTTTCCTGCTTTTTGGTAATGTTTCTTGTAGAAACATTTGGTAATGTTTCTTGTTCAAGGTCAGCTAGAAGGGCTGCCATTAAAGTAAGGATAATCTAAAGGATTTAATAAGATCAGCCCAAGGGACACTATTAGCAGTCTTGTTTCCAGAGAAAGTTTGTATCTGGAAAGTAACCCATATGGTTTGATTTTGGTCTTGATCCTTCTCTCATTAAATATTCTAGTGATAGTACCAAATTTGCTGTCTGCAGATGGTAACTATTCCCAGCCATGCTAGTGGAGAGGGAAGGCTGGAAGACTACACTCTGAAGAAATAGTAAGTGAGAAAAGTTTGGTAATAGGAATCCCAGAGCTGTGTAATTAAGGGTGAGCAACTTTTGTTGTAAGCCAGAAGCTTATTAGCTGGAAATGACTGAGCTGAAAGAAGACACATGGGTGTTAAAACTGTCAGTTGATGATTAGGAAACTCAGAAGTGTCCAGAGTTACTCTTTGAGGATGTTGTGAGCTTTTAAAGTAAGATGGAAAATATCACTACTGGACTACTAAAGCTTCATGTAGAGTTCTGTGTTCCTTTAGTCCTGTGTTCTTCTCTCCTGAAAAGGACCTCTAGAAATACTGGGAAAATTGAAAGTCAGTCTTACCCCCCAAAAAAACACACCACTACATGAGCTTGACTTTCAACTTACCCAAAAAAGGACAGAAAAGGGGGCATGATTGCTATAAATAAATATGCAAGGAGGAGTTTAATTTACCTAAAGAAAAAATAAGTACAGATTGGCCATGAATAAGGTTCAGCTGGAATTTGGCATAAGGTTTCTGACTCATGAGACTTTGTAGGGCAGACTGGGAAGGGCGTTATACCTTTTGATCCCTTTTATGAAAGAGGTTGGAAATGGAATGTCTATAATAAGAAGGGACTGGAACTTCTATGCCCTTGAATGCGTGGCTCTAAAATAAAATGCTTTTCCAAAGCAGGCGTTTTCTTACAATACTGATTTTTCAGGAGCTTACTAATAGTAACTTGTAACTTTCAGAATGAAGCTATGACTGGATCCCATACGCAGAACCGAGTCTTTTCCAGGATTACCTTAGCATTAATGGAAGACACGGGGTAAGTGTTAATAGGAATAATAATGGTGTGGTGTTTTTTTTTTGTTTGTTCAAGTGTGTTTGTTGCACTTGATGTTATTTGGAATTGATGCACTTGTGTTTATTCATCTGCCACACAGTAAATAATTGGCATAACCAGCATGACATTAAACAAGTAATTATACCTTGTATGTTAATTTTTCTTCACGTATATTAAAAAATCCACTCTTAATATAGCCATAAAAGCATGCGCGGCAATGCATAGTTCTGTTTGCAGAGTCTGTTTTCTATTTTCTCTTAATGTAAGTCTTTTGTCAGTTCCACGTAGCACTTTTTTTTGTCTTTTTTATAGACAGGAAGCATATATGGAAGAAAAGCAAAATTGCCTAAAATTTTATCTTTCTGTATGCATTAGTCCTTCGTAGACCAACATGCATTGCTGTCAAACAAATAGACAATGAAGTTTTCATTTAGCTCATTGTGAGTTGAAAAATAGTGAAATTATCATACTTTATTATTAGGTAGCAAGGAGTTATTTCCCTGTTTTATCATTTGAAAACCTTTAGGCATCGTATAAACTATTTTGAACTGCTCTTTTATTAATTATAACTCTAATTTTTAAATTGTATTCTCATTTTAAAATACCTTTGCAGTTGGTATAAAGCAAATTATAGCATGGCGGAGAAATTAGACTGGGGACGTAATAAAGGCTGTGACTTTGTAATGAAGAGCTGTAAGTTCTGGATTGACCAAAAGAAACAAAAGTAAGCCATTGTTTTATTTAAGAAGGTGGAAGACTGATGCTTGTTTACACTTGTCCTTTTTTCAAATGCAACTCAGTAAAAAGTAATACACAAGGAATGCTCTCGTAAGAATCTTCAGAGTGCACCCAAGAAGGAGCACACCGAATGTATTGAGAACAGTACTATTTTACCCAATAAATACAAAGACAAGCATCTTAGGAATGTATTTGCTCTTTAAGAGAATTGTGTTTTGGAGTTGGGTGGAAGGACTTTGTCTAAGTGTTGCTTTCTTATTTTGTCCTTTTTAATTGTAAAACGTTATTGGCTGCATTTACATTACTGGATTTTACCCAAAGCTCCAGAAATAGGCTTTGTTTTGGCTATCATACTTCTTGTTCATTTCAGTACTTGTAAACTTGCTCCATTGCAGCCCTGTTTTGTTTGTAATTTTTTCTTTAAAGTTTACAAAACAATGTTATTGAAACTATATAACTAAGCACGTTGTTACTTTGTTTGCTGATCTGATATTCTTTAAACTAGGAAGTTTATAACCAAATAACAATAATTAGTCTACAGACAAGATATTGCTGCTTCTTTATGTGCTTCAAGTATTAGGAAGAGCAGGGATAGTCAGAAAAACTGCATAGTTTAGATTAACTGCTTTTTGTAAACTTATGTTACTTTTTTTTTTTTTTTTTGAGGAGGCAATTAATCAGTCCAGTACTGTGACACTTTGAGAAGTAATCCTTTGCAGTTAACCTGCAGACAGGACCAAAGAGCAGTAGCAGTGTGCAACTTACAGAAGTTTCCAAAGCAGTTACCTCAGGAATATCAGGTATAATGAGTCGTAATTTACTAAATAACTAAGTATTTGCATTACTGTGTTTTGCAGCCAGGATGTGTGTTTGTTTTTTTTCTTCTGAACTAGTTGATGAGAGTAGATATTGTGAAAAATGTCTGCTTACTCTATTATAAGAAGCCTGGAGGCTTAAAAAAAAAAAAAAAGCCTTGTGATTGTTAATAAAACAATAGGGATGTTGCTTGACTGTCTAAGCACGTTTCAGTTGAAAATGTTGCTGTGTAACAGAAGTCCCCCATAATGTTTTGTCTGAGGTATTTCTTCAGCTAATCTGTGCCCTCGTGTCACTGCACACTGAAACATTGCTTCCCAGAGATGACTGTGATTGCAAGAGGAGACAGGGGGCAGTGCAGGGCTAGGGAGTGATACATGCAAATATGGATCTCTGTGCATTACTTGTGTATTCTTAAATAGTCTATGCTCATCTGTTCAGGGTATTCTGAGTTGCTGTTAAAAGCGCTCCTGAGAAGTAATGGATGTTCTTACAGCTTTAGTGATTGTTTCTATTAAAAATTTAAATAAATAAAAGCAATAAAAGCAACGACGACAAAGTGACAGCTGTACGCTTTTCTCTGCACCAGCTGTCTCACTGCCTATTTTGTTTTTGCAGTATTTTGACAATCTTAACGGAGTACCAGCAGAAGACTTGCCTTATTATGGTGGCTCAGTAGAAATTGCTGACTATTGTCCCTTCAGTCAAGAATTCAGTTGGCATTTAAGTGGTGAATTTCAACGCAGCTCAGACTGCAGAATAATTGAAAACCAACCAGGTAAGCTTCCAGAATTTAGTGTTGTATTTAAGGGCCTGTATTTGTTTATCTGGATTACCTTGTGAGCGTTTGCTTCCTAGGTGTAAATGAAATACAAAATTGCATAAGAGTTGAACAGAAATTATCCTCAAATGATCCAAATACAAGACAGAGGTTACAGGGGGAGTGTTGTTCAGTTGCTTTTGAGTCTCTCTGGAAACAACTCTACTTTTCACCTTTGTAGTCTTCTATCCAAAGCAGGGAGCCTGACAAATTACCAGAGCATGGCCCTGCCTCCTGGAATAGCACATGAACTCTCAATATAGCAGAGCTCCAGGACACTGCAGGATATTACCTGTGTGTGCAATTCTCTCAAAGCCAAATGAACAAACACGCTCTCCCCTGAAGCCAGCAACCACAGCTGGCACTCCCTGGGAGCAAACATTTCTGTAGAAGCGTGTGGATAGTGTATTTTTAAAACCTTGGTTTTCTTCATGCTTTACTCCGTCTGAGAATTATTGTCTTGAATATAATGATTAATGGTGTGAAACATCCCAAAAGTAAACCTGGAATTGCCTGTAGAGACTGACTAATTATGGCAAATTAATTTAGTGTGAACTTCCTTTTCGCCTGGTAAACTGAGGTTCAGTATATTCTTTCCACCTTAGATCCTACAAAAAACTATGGTGCAGAAGAATATGGACCAAACTCTGTATGTCTTATTCAGAAGTCAGCTTTTGTCATGGAACAATGCAGGAGGAAACTCAGTTACCCCGACTGGGGTAGTGGGTGTTACCAAGTAAGTACATGTGCTGTGTGGGTTCTTTGCTTGCTTCACTTTTGTAGTAACACCAAAGAGAGAAATCTGATATAAAATGCAGGCTATGGCTGTTAAAACTATGCACCTGGACACCGTACATGATATTATCTTCCTGAAAGTCACTAGATTATGACATGCTTTGGAAATAAGTATTTTCCAACTGTGAGTCTGTAGTTCAGATCATGTGTGCATCAAGTCAAGCACATGGCCACTGGGCAGACTTGTGTGTTACTTCCAGTCTTGCTAGGACTTACCTGTCTTACCTGAGGACTAAGTGTCACAGGGATAAGTGAGAATACTTTGGAATCTTCTGTTGAAGTTTTACATTAGTTAAATGACTCTGATTTTCCTGCTGTAGAAAGCACTGTGCACGTGTCACTTTTCATTATCCTCCCTCTCAGGGCTATCTCACTTACAGCTGTTTCTTTCAAAGGCAGCACAACTCTAAAAGCATGCTCATTAGCAGAAACAGAATTTTACTCAGTCTCAGTTGATTATCTATATAATCGCATGAAAAGGGTACAGTCAGTGCTTTAAAGCATTTTTAAACGAATAGCTGCTCTTAGTGCATTAAAATAGCTGCACTTAATCTATGCTGTATGCAGGCTGTTTACTGAATATTTTATTTCCTTATTGAAAGAACTTCCAACTCCCCAAGCATATTTCCAATAAATCATAATACAGACCTTACGTTTATTCCTTTCTTTTAAGGTTTCTTGTTCTCCACAAGGACTGCACGTTTGGGTCAAGGACACTGCTGTACTTGTGCAGCCGCTCAGGTCAAGTATTAACAGTGAGCATTCAGATGAATGGCTGGATCCACGTTGGAAATCTGGTTTGTCCAGCCTGTTGGGACTTCTGTGACTCCTGTCCCCCAGAGCGGGATCCTCCAGCTTCTAACTTATCAAGAGTTGCACCAATTGGTAGGTTGGCTCCTGATTTCCTGTTCTGGAAAACATATCATTTTAATAACCTTCAGAATCATCACCTTGGTGCAAAATGAGTACTCGCTTATATAAGTTCCTATTGGCAATATTAACACAGTAATCCAGGACACAAATGACAGGTGTCACTTTGCTTTTTGAAGGAAGAAAAGAACCTTAAGTTGCTGACTACCAGTTACTGTTTTGTCTAGAGTTGACTGTGTAAAAAGCCACTTAGTGAAAGAGAACAGTCCTTACAGTATTTTTCTCTAGAGGCTAATTTCTAAGCCTTTAATCAATTTTGTAATTGTTGATGTGCTGTCTCTACTGCAGGTTTTGAGGAAAAAATAAACCTGTATAGGTAACCTGTACATTTAATTCTTTTTTCAACATGTTCTGGGGTTTGTGTGTACCATTTCAAGTCTTTGAAATGGGAACGTTTCAGGGGTTGGTGGAATGACTCCTACAGATCAGATTTTAGCATGAGAAAGCTGTAATATAGGAGACTGACATCTCCCTCTCCCAGAGAGACAGCAAGTGTGAATTCAAACAGATTCACATCCTAGGAGATGGGGGGTATTTTTAAAATATATTAATATATATGCTTATATATGTGCATACATATAATACACTTATATAACATAACATATAAAATGCTTATGTATCTAGTCTTTTGAGTCTGTGATTTTGAAATGCTGCTTATCCCCAGTCATGCATTAGTAAACTTCCTGTCCTTTTCTTGCCATACTGATACATTCAGCTCATTTGTTCTCCTAACTATTATTAGTTATTGCAGAAATTAATTTAATTTTAAAGGGAATAAATCATGTTATTCAGCTTTTATGAATTGCTGTCCTTGAAAACTAAAAGTAAATCAGTTCAGATTACTACAAATATGTTTTTGCTCTCTGGTTATTTTCTCTTAAATATGAAATATAAGCTTCATGCTGTCTTGTTTTTTATTTTAGATTTGTGCTCCTGCTCATCTAACCTGGTTGTAACCCTTTGGCTGTTGATGGCTAACTTAATTCCCCTGCTAACGGGATTATTTCTCTGCGCATAGTTTCAGCAGGGAGCAAGAAGATGTTCCAAGATGGTATACCACAGTGTTGTACTTCTTACTGTGGAGCACTGAGTTTTTTTTGTCTCTGCAGGCAGCTGTCTTCTCCTGAACCTCATCTCTCCCGGCAAGTATCAGTGCAGACAGTAGTCGGGGAGTTACTGACAAAAGCAGCCAGAGTTTGAGAGGAGGAAAATTTACCTTGTCATCTCAATAAGTGCCAGTATTTTCCTGAATTGCAACCTTTGGTTTTGTCACAGTAATGAGATCCACTGTGCCAGCTCTGTTAGACTACCTGGCAACTTGATCAAGATTTGAAATGAGAACTCTTCTGTAGTAGAACTTGGGTTGTTTTTTTGTTATGTTCTCTGTGTGACCGGTAGCAAAGCATCCTCAAACTGGAAATATACCTCAGTGGTTTAGTCAAAAGCCATGTGAAAATCAGTTACTGTTACTGCGAATAACTCAGACCCAAACAGGTGTGGGAGGTTTTTGTTTGGGTTTTGTCCATTCTTACAATGTATACAATGTATATTACATTGTATATGAGTAAATTACAAATCTTACAATTATTATTATTATTATTTAACATATTACAATGTATATGAGTAAAATTAATTTAATGGAATAGACTGGTTGTTGGGAGTTGTTTCCACAACTGGATTCTGTAGCTTTGAGACTTCTCAGAATTCATGTTAGTTTGCAGTAAGTTATTTACTTCTTGAGGTTCATGTAAACCTTAGTGAATGCACAAAGTAGACTTTCAGACTGATAACCATGACAACTGTCTAGAAATCACATTTTCATTTAGCATGTGCCAGTTCTACTGTACAGTGTAATAACATTACTCTGAGGATATTCAGAAATTCAATTTGCTAGGCAAATGCATTTTATTACTGATGCCAGTCTGTAAAATTGGGGTAGGTTTTATTTTATTTTTCTTAATAATGGCATTATTTCTTTAATAATATGATCATAAATACATTTGTTTCACTTTTTGCTGAAGGCCAAGCCAGTAGCTATGGCAGCTATAATGTTATAGAACTATACTGACTCCTCTAGGCCAAAAATGAGTACGTAAAGAAATGTCTAATCTGTCTTTTTTTCCCCTTTTCTTGGACATACAGTTGATTATTTCAAATAATTCATAGTATTTGGATTATGTTAGAGAATCAGACACTTTGAACCACACAAGGGCACACCTTGGTACAAAATTCATCTTTTGGAGGATAAAATCTACCTGAGGTAGGAAATGAGCAAAATCTGTCTTGCGGAGGACAGCTGCTCTCTACAACACTTGTGAAGGTGTTTTTCTTTGTTTCTGACCCTAGATGACATGTTACAAATAATCCTGCTTAGCATAAAAGAAAGTTATGTGGTCCAATCCATTGTCTGTCCTGTTTGTCCAATTTCATTCTTGAGAAGGTACTAAACCTGAGGGAGCAGATGGGCCACGTGCACTGAAAATACAAAGGTGAGGAGAAGGATGATGATACACAACTTGTTTAAGGCTTGATCCCCTTCTAATACGGAAGGGGCAGGGAGTAAAATTTCTTTAGCTACAATTAAGCTTGTTTAATAAGAACTTCCATTGTAATCATAAGGACACTGAAGAAAATCTTTGTGCCTACCAGATTTTTTTTAAAGATGCTTTTATGACACTGCTGAGGTGAATAAGCTGCAACCTAAAACTGTCTGAGGGCATCATGGTTGAGAGAGTACCTTGCACTGGGCTAGTTCCCCTTCTTAACTGCAGGTTATGCACAGTTTGCTTTGCATTAAACAAGGCCTAGCTTAGCCTTAAATAGGTGTTTCTGAGAAGCAATACAAATTAGGGATCAAATGCTTTAAACGTGTACAAGTTTGAATTAAGAAACACTCAGATTAGTAGGTGAACACTGATAATTTTAATATATGCACAATCAACAGTCAGTATAAATGGATTCATTGAAAGCGTAAAGGTTTGAGAATATATATTAGGTCCCAGAGGTTGTGATTGTCTCTTGTCTGGTGTGCAATAATACAGGTTAAATGGTATCACTCAACAACAACACTTTTTATACTTGAAAAGAAATTACTGGTTATTTTTTCTTACTGTGGAATATTTGCACTGTCTGAATTTTCTGGTTAAATTTATAACTGTTAAACGTTTTTAAATGGTGTTTATTTATTGCGCTTGGTATTTGATATGCTAGTCTGTGTAAGTGAAGTGTTATATTTAAGTGAATTTTTTTTTATCTTCTACGCAGTTGTTTATCTTGAGGGCTTTTCTTCTCTCTTCCTGAGAATTAACTGAAAACTGAAAGATGGCTTGAAACATTGATGCTTACCTACTTCTGAATTGTATACATTCAATTAAAGAAAGAGGCTGTAATGCGTTGTACCTACAGGGAAAATCTGTCTGGCTGTCAGTGTCCGTGTAGTCAGCTTCACCGGTACCTACCTGCTGAATAGCTGCATTAGTGAGTCCAGCGAAGTAAAACTACTAAAGCCTTAATAATCTGAGATTTCAGTTGTAATTTCTTTGACATGCAGTCCTTAAACTGGCTGTGAACTACAGAATTGGAAGTGACTTTAGGGGACTGGGGAGGGAAGGTTAAGGTTTGCAAAAGCCAGCGGGTTACCTTCTGTCAGTAAGCTAGCAGCTGTAGCCTTGTGGGAACTGCCAAGAAATGTGTCACGTTCACTTTCAGGTACGAATGAATTCGTGACTGTCAAACGAGTTCGAGTAAAGCTGCCTACCTCAGTTCTGTTTGTCTTTCACTTAAGCTTCTAACCCGCTGTTGTGAACTTCCAAGTCTTAAGATGAATTAAGGAAAAACATGTCTCAGGTTTTTAAGAGCAAAACAGTAGGGAGCATAAGCCATTTTTTGAGTGTAGAGCACAGCTAAAATTGTAGCTTAAAGCAACCATTTGTATAGCCTTAAGCACGGTTTCCCCAGTAAAAGTGAATACCAGTTTTAAATAAAAACAAAGTTTGCAGGCAGCTACTTTCAGTTTCCTGAACATATAGGGGTAAGTCCATCATATTGAACCTCTTACATGTGAAATCTTTTAAATAAAGCCCAAATAGGCTTTTGTGTGTTCACCAGACTAGCTAGCATTATTCCCAGGACTTTTGCTGCCCTAAGAAATAAACAAATCGTTTATCTGCAGCCAAACCATGCCCACTGCTTTAATGTGAAAACACGTTCCATGTTTCTCTATGGTAGTAAATTAGTCTTGCAGCCTTTTTTTGTCCCCCCCCCCAGCAGTTCACGTTTCTAATATTTCAATTAGAAGTCAAGGCTATTAACACTTCAGGAAAAAGTTTTCTAGTGCTTCAAACAATTACAAAGAGGAAGGATTGCTTTCGGCTGGAGTATGCAGTGAGTAAATAACACAGAAAAGCAGGCAATTCATTTCTTTTTGAAATGAGGTCTTGGGAGACTGTTAAGGCCTCAGATATAGGTGAACTACCAAAACGGAACTTTGACTCCTCCCATTAATTAACTGCTGGTGCAACACAACTCGTTATTTTTGTTGTGCTCTAGTAAATTAGGAAGGTTGATGTCACCTGAGAGCAGACACACCAACAATCCCTTGCTTGCAAGGGCCAGTTGTTTTTAAATCTTCCTGTCCTGCGAATCTTTCTGCTTTCAGTAGAGAGGAATGCGTGTGTCCTTTCTTCCCCACGCTTCCTGTGAATGACTTTCAGCCGAGCAGGTCAACATCTTTCCCATGCAAGATCTAACAACCAGCTTTTGCTTGGCTGAGTGCTTGGGTGAACACTTGCACATATCGCTCTCTGGGACTGGGGTCTATTTTGTATATTAAATGATGTGATCTTACGCCACCAGGGTTCCAAGTGCAAATGTTACCCTTTTAATGTGAAGCTTACCTTGGAGATAAAACAACTGTTTTGAGAGAACTGGCTGACTTTGAATATGCTTCCTATTTTGGTACAGAATGTAAATATAGAACAAACTATTTTACTTAGATTTTGACTGGATTGAGATATAAGGGCTAATTTTGTTATTTATGAAGTAAAAGTTGTCTTATTTTACTGTGTAAAAGTATGTCATACAAAAGAAAAAAATATGTCAATCAATAAAAATGTCTGTAGAAAACTGACTCTTCTTGTCCTTTTCTTTGAGAGCTGTATGAATGAGCACAATAACGGACCACTATTAGAACAGTAATTTATTTTGGGAGAACTTTGAAAATGAAATTACATCAAACCTGCATTTGTTGACCACTTTATTAAACTGTTTGATACCTTTAATGTAAAATGTTCTGTATTAATAGCTCTTGAATCACTTTTGAGAATTTCAGCCTGCCTGGGAAGCAAGGGGGTTTCTGAATTCTCTATCCCATCCGGATATATTTGATATGTAATTCTTAAATATCAGGCTTTCTTACTTGAAATGAAAGGTCATGACTTTTGTTTTCTTTTTTTCCCCTAATTCTGCATAAAGGATTTGGCCATGTGATTCCCATTTCAGCTGAAGGAATGTTTCCGTTGCGCTGCAGAGCCCTGAGCTGTTAGCCACGAACAGGCAGTTCTCTTCCTCCAGCCGAGTCTTCACGTGCGCTCCCTTCCTGATCTCCGCTGAAGAGCAGTGGATGCTACAGCCACTGTTTCTGGTACCAGAGCTAGACTTGCTAGCTTGAAAACTGAGATTTTAAAAATTATTTATTTTTATAAGTAATATTTTTATACATATATATATGTATATATAACTGATAAATGTGAAAGACAACAACGTTCCTCTTAACATATAGAGTGGAGAGGATTTTATAATGTAGGTGTTTCTTTTTTCTAAACAATGTCAGTGAATACAGAGAGGTTAAAAAAAACACTTGCTGTTTTGGAAAATCAGATGAAACAAAAGTAGCTTACTCTTCCTGTTTGCTTGCCTTCTCTCTAAATATGAGTATTTTCAATAGGGTATTAAAGCTTAGAAAATGTGACGCTGTTTATTTCATAGATGGCTTTCACTCTGAAAAACATTAGGTATGTAAAATTACCCAATATAGTTAGCTTAAAAACTTTTATGTTTCTAAAATTAATGCCATTGGTAGCAAAATTAAACTGGTCTAGGAACCAGTTTGTGTGTAAAATTCAGACGTAGTTAGAGGTATCTCCCTTCAGGAGTGCAGCGTGTAAGATAAATTGCTTAAGCGACAGCAGGATCAGGGAATTAGTCTGTTTGTTGTGGTCTGTGGAAAGATGCTTGGAGTTGCACTGATGTCAGTCCAGTGGAGCTTCCTGGTAGCGCTGAAATGTAGCCAGGTTTCAAATACAATTTTATAGGAATTCTGTGCGTCTGTAGCGGTCATTTTCATGTACGTATAAAAAGTCAAGTAATGCAGAGGGTGTTTCACTGCTGCTTCTCACATCCTTAAGTGTGATACAAGATGCAAGCTGAGCTGTGTGTGCATACTAGTCATCAATTTCTTCTTCAGTTTTCCCCTAAGCTAGTATAAATACTAGTGGGTTATGCTTGCTCAGAAATCCTAACGCTCACATAAATGTATTTGGTTATTCCATTTTTTTCTGTGTATTTCAACAGAATACAGTAAGTACAATGAAAGTCAGATCACTACTGAAAATCCCTAGTGTCCTGAATAATAATAATTTAAAAAGCCCTTCTTTCCTTTCCCACCATAACCCCTTAAACTGCTTTATTTATACATCTGCTAAACGTTCACATATGTCTGAGCACAGTAACAATACCTATTTTTCCAAAGTGGCTTACACTTTGGAACAAAAACAAGGAAGGACTAAATGTCACCAAATACAAAATGTTATGCTATTTGTGTTTGAGGGGAATTATGAAAACCCATATTTGCCTATGTGACTGCATCTTACTGCTATAAGAACTTTATCTGTAATTCTTTTGATCTTCAACTTTTCAGCGTCTTGTGCTGTTCTGTAACTAGCATCGGTAGGCACAATGCTGAGGTTCATGTGCGTTAATTAACTCCTGGTACGAAAATTACGATGGGCACTGTTTGAAATCAACATGAAAGTAACTGTAGGCAAATGCTTAAATTGCTAACTCAAATCAAAGTCTGTTACACTTTTACATTCAATTCCTGTTCTCGGATATGATGCTGAAAGGCAGATTTTCACCCCCAGAAAGAGGATACTGAAATACATTCTGTGTTGCTTTTACAGCAAGCATTGCCACACAACCTATTTGTCTACTTTATTTGCTGTGGAGTGGATAGAAGTCCTGAAAAGATGAGAGCACAACCAGATGAGGAGAGCAAACTTCTAAATGTGTTCTGGGTGTTCTTGCAGACATGAGATGAAATCCTGGATCGATCTACCCTCGTAGCAGATCTTGTAGATGGTTGTAAATAATGGAAACCTAAAAGAAGCACGTAAAAATAGTTTTTCAAGTTTACATAAACGTCCATTTTGTTTATAGTGGGGGGAAAAATAGTTCTTTTTTGTTGTTTGCATTGACTGAAAGACTGTAAATTGTAGATGGAAAAAAAAACAAAGCAGTAGGAATGAAGTTAGGACAATGAAGAAGAGCTTAAGGGCAATCTGGGGGGGAGGGGCGTGGAGAGGGTGACAACAGAAAATCTGTTTTGGAGACAAAATTGTTATCTAGTGTTTTCATTCACTGAAAAAATCTCGAGGTGGATATCACCCTTTCCCTTCTGTGTGCAAAATGCATGCATTATTTGCATTCATAACTGATATCTAAAAGGCTAAAAAGGACTTGAAACAATGGAAATGTCTTAATGATTTTCCTTTTCCTGGCTTGAAGGTGTTTTTTTTTTTAAAAAAAAAAAAAAAAAGCACACTTGTAAGCTGTCATACCATTATTATGTGGTATAAATGATACCACTGAATGACGTGGAGCTGAGTCTGTAATTGGCAGTAATTACAGGGATACTCATTAGATTAAGTTTTGACATAGGTGTACATCCTGTCAAAATAAGCTTTTTTTTTCTTTTTATCTTCTGCTTTATTTATTAATATTCTAACATTTTTTAAAGTATTTGTTTAGCAGTGTTTGACCTCTGTATATTACTAACATAGATCAGGCTACAAGATGGAAGGAAAGTTTAATCTTTCCTTTGTATAACTTGAGACAAAGGCTTCAAATTATGAATAATCTTATTACCTCTCTCCCCAAACAATTAGTTTATTTCAGCTTCTTTTGTGGAACCAGAGCAGTGAATATATAATATGTGCTGACATCAATTTGTATACAGTTTTTTTGATTGTAAGCATACTCCTGAATTTTATACTGAGATGATCTAGTTCGTATTTGCACTGAGAGCAGTATTGCTGCAAGCTGCAGTGCTGACATACTGAGAATGAGAAACCCTTTGATCATGTTCCTAAACTTACTCTGTAAGCGTGCATCAATCTTGTTCAGGGTGGACCAGTGATATCTAGGTAGCTCCCTTGGACTTTTTTGGTGTCTTATGTCTGTGGCTTGTTTCTTTTAACACTGTTCTGCCTTCATCCCATTCTACTGATCACAGTAATGAGGAGTCTTGCTAAGTTTAATGGTGGCCCAGGATGTAGCAACCAGTTGTTGTGGAAATGATGGGGTAGTTAACCTCAATGGGACTCGTGTTTATGAATCACTCGTAATTCTTGGTGATGCCTGTTGAGTCAGGTGTTTCCCTTGTTTGTCTTTTTAAATCGAAACACTTACTTATCGAGCAGACTTTTCTGTTTCAGAATCTTGTAGACTTCAGCCGAAGTCTGAGGACCTTGTAGTTTTTGTCCGTTCAGCATCTCATTCTCCAATTGCTCTATGGACTAAAAGAGAGGAGACTTATTACTTGCATCAGAGGAAATCCTGCTGCAATACCAGCAGTTACTGAGAAGGTAAAAAGCTAATGATGCCTTTGTATCGTTACACAGGATTTTTCTTTTTTTTTTTCTTTTTTTTTTTAGTTTAAAACACAGGAATTCATTTTTTTTTAGTTTAAAATATTTAAAAATCCTCCTTACTTTTCCTGTGCGTGCAAAGGCTTCCGCTACTTTTCTGTTGCGTCCTCCGTAGCAGGTAGTGATTAGGTCAGCAACTCCACAGCTTTCCAGAAAAGTGGCTATTGATACTGGTCCCCTGCAGAACATCTTGGCAAAGGCCACCATTTCCATGAGGCCTAAACGTATAACTGCTGCCTTTGTGTTATCACCATAACTCAGTCCATCGCAGAACCCAGCTCCTACTGCTACAATGTTCTAAAAACAGTTTAGAGCATAGAGAACGAAAGGAAATCGTCAGATAAGACATGCAATTCATCATTGTACATCAAACTTTAAGAAAATTCCACCAATCTGTCTGCACTTGGTTCACTGGCATAAGGTTCAATTCGCAGAGGCTATGAGTTTGTTATGAAGAAGGTAGATGTCTCATTACAGTTGAAGAAAAATTGCTAGACTATAAAAGACTTTATAAAGTATCCACTTTACAAAGTTATTCCAGTGGGCAAAAGGCAAAGCAGCTTGTTTAATATTGTAACATTGCAATCATGTAGCAATTAATGTTTTGTTTTTCTGCTAGTTCCAACTTGGAGCTTGCTGACCTTTCTGTTTTAACTGTTTAAACCATTCTCAGTGAGGACATGCCTCTATCTTTTTTCTGTTGGCCTGTAGCTTAAACAGTTATTGGTTCCACATACTGATGCTGTAATAGGTCAAACCTTGTTTTTGCCTGCAAGAGTGGTCAGTAGAATTGACGTTTTCTACAGATCTAAACAACTGTCTTCAGATCCTAAACATCCTCGTGTTGCCCTGCATACGTCCCTCCTCATCCCTCAGCTTGCAGTCCCTTGAAGAAGCATAGCTCATTTCATTTGAGTTATAGGTTGGTAGTACTGCCATTGAAATATTTACTCCCAGACATGCATGTGCCCCAGTGCAGGTTTGTTTTGTTTGTTTGTTTTAGCAAAAGGAATGATTTCAGGAAGAACAAACGTTTTCCACAAAACAAAACCAACTTCTCGCCTCTCTATGCCCTCCACTACTCCCAGTTCCAGTCTGTAGATGAAAGCAAAGTCTTTGGTTATTTCTATGTAAATAATCTGTTCATATCTGGGTTAAACGGGACCCATTCTTTACTAGCTTGTAATCCCTCCTCCAAAGAAAG